TCACAGAGATGCTCGGGACAAACCTTGACAAAAACCATTGAATTTTTCTCCAGACTTCTTTCATAAAGGCTCATTCCAGCAGGAAATGTGTAACAGCCACTTTCCCCCACCCAATAGCTGTTTCAAGCACAGGTTCTCAATCCCTCCCTACCAGGGGAGTTGCAGTGCCTCCCCAGTGACGGGGATGTCCTCCCCCTGCAGGTAGTGTCGCCTCTGACTGGTCATGGTGAAGGCCTTCTTTCTCCCAACATCCCTCAAGTTCTCGGGGGTGCCGTGCCCAACAGTGAGCCACTCCATGAACATGATTGGCTGGTGAGTCTTTGGCAGGAATGTAGGGGGCACGGAGATGGAAGACTGCGGGTGTCATTTCCGGTCCAGCCATTTCCAGTTCAGCCCCAGAATGTCCACAATCAGCTATCGAAGGGTCAGGCCTGGGTGATTATAGGATCAGGAATTACTCATGTGGAACCAGGCCCAGTCAGGTGCAGAGGCCTGGGGATCCCGCTCAGGAACGGCGCTCAGGAGCACAGAAATAGGGGTTATTATGCTTAACCAACATGATGCAGGGGGTTGGGCTCAGCGTTCTGGTGCCGGGGCAATGCAAGTGCAGCCACAAGGGCACTCTAGCACCAGGGTTGGGTAGGCCCAGATCCCAAACCCAAGCCCGGACTCAAAGCAACTAGTTCCGGGCACAAGGGAACGCATCCATTGGGCAGCTGTCATTCTCGGTGCCTTCCTTCCAGCCGGATACCCATCTCTTCCCCACCAGAGACTGTTGGAACAGTGATCTCCACCTCGAGCCCTTCTTGAGAGACTCCGTGTGTCACCTTTGGGGCACAAGGAACGGCAATGCCACCAGCGGGCCACTGGTGAATCTTTGGTGCACTTCGAGGTGGGACAATTGCTCCTGTCATGCCCCAGCTCCTTGAATAAGTGTCACTGCATCGCATCTGATGTCCAGAAGGAATGATAGGTCAACCCAAATTAACCTGGTGTCGTGTGAATTGTGATTCAGCGATGATGTTTTTAACAGATGCGATGGACAGATTGGTGAGAATGAGGTCAAGTTTGATTTTTCCTCATTGTTAGTTCCCTCACCAGCTGCTCAGTCTTGCAGAAATGTCTTTCACTGCTCAATCGGTTGTGCTGCTGTAATTCACCTGGAAATTGGAATGTCCCCTGAGATTGCATTCTGCATCCTTTCCATCATCTGTGCTTCCTGCAAGTGATGTTGAACATGGTGCAGTACTGATTCATCAGCTGAGGGAGAATAGATCGTGGTCATTAGCAGGAGGATTCCTTGCCCATGTTTAACCTGAAGCCTTCAAATTCATGGGGTCTGGAGTCAATGTTCAGGACTCCCACGGCAAATCCCTCCCAACTGTGCCACCACCTCTGCTGGGTCTGTCTTGCTGGTGGGAAAGGCCATATCCAGGGCAGGTATTGATGGTGCCTGGGGCATTGTAAGATGTGATTCTGTGAGAGTGACTATGTCACGCTATTGCCTGTCTAGTTTGTGACAAAGTTCAGCCTGTTTTTGCCGTAACCCCCAGATGATAGGAGGAGTTTCAGGGTCAACGGGACTATGTTTTGTGATTATAATTTTTGGTTCCTAGGTTGATGCCACCTGCTTCAATTTCATTTTTTATTCAGGCTTTGTTGAGATTGGCACACCTGATGGATCTGCTGAGCTGTTTCAGTGGGCACTTAAGAGGCAATCACTTTGCTGTGGATCCAGAGTTACATGTAGGGCACACCAGGTAAGACAGTAAGATATCCAAGCTGGATTAGGCCAGTCGGCCCATCAAGTCTGCTCAGCCTTTTGACCATGGCTGATGTGTTTCTCAAACCCATTTTCCTGCCTCCTCCCTATAACCTTTGATCCCCCTACTCATCAAGAACTCATCTATTTCTAACTTAAATGCACTTAATGGCTTGGCTTCCACAGGCTTCTGCAGCAAAGATTTCCACAGATTAACAACCTCAAGCCGATGAAATTCCTCCTTATCTCAGTTGTAAAGGATCATCCCTTCTCCCTAAGCCTTTGCACCAAGATCCTGGTCTCTCCTCCTCCTGGAAACATCTTATGCACAGCTACTGTATCCAGGTCTCTCAGTATTCTGTAAGTTTCATTCAACCCTGAACCACCACACTTTGTCCACCACCGCCTCCCCATGTAAACTCCAACGAGTAGAGATGCAGCAATCTCAATTGCTCCTCATATGACAAGCCCTGCATCACAAGAATCATATTTCTAAGCCTCCTCTGGAACCCTTTCAAGGCCAGCACATTTTGCCTCAGGGAGGGGGTTCAAAAATGCTCACAATATTCCAAATGCGATTGTGCCACATCCTTACATAGCCTCAGCAGTACATCTCTGCTCTTATATATTAGCCCTCTTGAAATGAATTCCAACATTACATTTGCCTTCCGAACTGCCAACTCAATCTACATGTTAACCTGGAAAAAGAAATCTGCAGGAGGTCTCCAAATTCCCTTTCGGCTTTGCATTTCCAAAGACTTTGCCCTCGTAGAAAATACTCAACAAATCTATTCTTGCTATCAAAGTGTGTAACTTTACAATTTCCCACAGTATATTCCATCTGCCACTTCTTTACCCACTGGAAGAGCACGTCTAAGTGCTTCTGCAGCCTCCCTGCATCCTCAACACTGTCTGTTCCTCAACTGTCTTTGTGTCATCTAAGGATGGCAGATTTCTGATCCAAATACTGTGGGTTCTGGATTAGTAATCTCGAGAAAACACCACAAGGATGTTGCGCCTCGAATGAAATTTCACTGTTCAGGGTAAAAGAATGAAATGAATTTACATCATCTGAAATGTATCAGGCCAAAGATATGAAGCTGAGATGGTAAGTTGTCAAGGACAGAATTGTAAATGGGTACCAGATTTCAGCTAAGACCATAGAATCAATTAATCGATGCTCATTGTCGGATCAGGATGAACGAAATAGATAAGGCTCAGATACTGAAAACAGTAGAGAATTCTGCAAACAGAAGAACTAACAATCCAGTCATAGCATAGTAGAGTATACAGCACGGGAGCAGACACTTCAGTCCAATGATACACGCTGACCAGACATCCTAAACTGATCTAGACCCCATTTGCCAGCATTTAGCCCATATCACCCTACATCCTTGCTATTCATGTACTATCCAGATGCCTTTTAAATGTTGTAATTGCAGTTGCTTTCACCACCTCCTCTGGCAGCTAGTTCCATAAACACACCATGCTCTCCCCTTGGGTCCTTTTTAACTCTTGCCAGTCTCACCTTAAACCTCTGCCCTCTAATTTTGGATTCCACTATCCTGGGAAAAAGATCTTGGCTGTTCACCTTGTCCATGTCCCTCATGATTTTATAAACCTCTATCAGGTCACCCCTCAGCCTCCAATGCTCTGGAGAAAAAAGCCTCTCATTATAACTCAAAGCCTCCACTCCCGGCAGCATACTTGTAAATCTTTCCAGAACACTTTCAAGTTTAACAAGATCTTCCTTGTATGTGTTTCAGGAAATTCCCCAAATCCCAGAATGATTTTGGAAAACCTTGAGTGTGGCTGAAGTTGAAGCTGCTCTTAGACACATGAAGAATGGAAGAGCCACAGGAGTGGACATGATTCCAGTGGAGGTCTGCAAACTTGGAGGAACAGGGCTATCCCGTCGTTTCCACCAACCATTGGGATGCTACCATTGTCACTGTCTTCAAGCAAGGAGACAAAGTGGACTGTGGTGACTACCGAGAAAGCTCCCTACTCCCCATCGCTGGGAAGAATATCACTCAAATGCTCACAGGGAACTTTCTCCCAGTTTATGGGGAAATCCTACCTAAAAGCCAGTGATTAAATAAATTCAGCCAACACTTCCAGGGTAGTTAAGGATGAGTGGGGAAAGAAAAATACTGTCAGAATGTAGCAGGAATACATTCTTATCTAGTTCAAATTTAGTCAAAACATAGAAATGTGATTATAAATGCAGCGGTGCAAATGAACTCGAAGTGAGCGATTCATATTACACCAACATAGTGCGTTGGTGTAGCGCACTCAGTTTCTGGGTGTTGTTCTCTCATTTCCATTTGTCCAAAGAGGTGACATTCATCACCTTCTCCGAGGGTACGCTTGAGCAATTCCTGAAGCTCTCTGGATAGGGCTGGAAGGAAATTGATGCCCAAGAAATTTTGGCACAATCCTGCAACTTATTTATGAAAATATGATGGAAATTGCTTCCATTTGGGGAATTTGGAAGAAACACTTTGAAAATCCTGCCGGGTTTAGACAAGGTGGTATGATATCTCCCATACGAGCAGCAGTCTAACTTGGAGAAGCGGTACACTTCATCACTGAATAACTCCCCTCTGGCAGTCAACACCAATTTGTTTGG